AAGACCCATTCCCTGAGTGGTAATAATGGATATTCCTAACAATGCCCAACAAATTTTATTGTATTCTATTGTTTCACTTCAAATACATAGTTACAACCAAAAGAGTTTGGACTTCTCCCCAAAAAAGAAGAAAAAAAAAATTGAAAGAAAACCTAAAAGTCAACACTTCAATGGCAAAAACAAGTTCTACTGAAATGAATTATGACCTAGCTCCAGAAAGTCCAAATATTAATTAGCAAAAACAAAAACATGTTTCAATAGGCATAGTCTGCACAGCCCAACCTGAGTATGATCCAGCCGTTTCAGGAACACACCCACTGTAGTTTAAACGTGGACTGTTGAGTGTTGACTTGTGCCACAAAACACATCCCTAGCAACCAGGGTGAATCAATCAGGGGCTTGATGACACAAACGAGGATTTTTAAAGCAAAAAAATGTGTGGGGGTGGGAGGATGGGTTGGGTTTCCCCACCAAAGCCCTTACTGTACTCAGTCCAGGGACTACAGGGACAGAGAGGAATTTGAAACTAAGAAGGGGGGGAGGATTTGCATCAGTGGGGAAGGACATGGAGTTCCCACTGTACTCTGCACCCTCCTAAAGCATTTCTATGTAACAGAAACTTCCTGAAAGCACACTCTTTTCTCCTTAGCTTTATGGTCTTGATTAATGCCTGAGTCACAAGGCCAAGTCATTCCCCAGGATTTCTGGAATTCTGCCCAGTGGCCTTGATCAGAGTGAGCAGAATAGTCACCATAGCACTTGCTCTGGCTTGTGTCTGTTCTGCCTGATCTGAGTTAATATTTGTTTGCTATCCACGGACACATTGCAGCTTCTTGCTCTCAGAACTCTCTCTGCCCAACTCCTGATCTAGCATTGGAGTGGGTGGAAAGAGACTGGCAGGAAGAATGACATCACTTGGCATGAAGCACTCTCAGGGTTGGGAAATCCAAGCCTTCACATCTACAAACTCAATTTTAGTGTTTTATGACCCACATATTGTATTTCCACTGGGGCCCTGCTGCCTGCAGAAAAAAAAAATCTAAACTCAGCATTTCAGATCTTCCATACGCTGAACTTTACCTAAATGCTCCCACCACAACCAAGAAAGATTGGCCTAGTAGTTCTTCAAACACACTCAGTATTCTCTAGTTACCTCTGGTTCTCCAATTTCCCTCTGGGAACACTCAATGTGGGTCAGCTGATATTCTCATGTGATTTCAGGTTAGAAAAAAATAGTGTTACCTTTTCTCCCATACTTTTCCCTGCTCTGTGCTCAAGTCTCTCTTGATATGTCTGTGAAACACCAGAGTTGAATATATAAAGGCAGTCTTCCAGCCAATCTGCCCACAAGGTTTCTGTCTCATTTACTCCATTTTCCCCATGGGTCTGAAGTTAGTGCCTAGCACACTTAAGCATTCAAATGCATTTTGGGGATGCATTACATATACTAGGTATTTCTATAATGTCTTCCTCAATTGTCTTCCTCGCCCTCAGACTGAGTATCTCAAATGCAGCTCCAATGTCTACACAGAGCAGGAGGTGTAAATTCCAGCCTCTGTTCAAACCCTTGCAAAACTTGGCAGATCCCTTCAGAGGTAGCCTCTTTCTCATCACAAAAGACAGCCCAGCACCTCACCTCTACCTCTACCGTGAAAGGGATAATGGGGTCCTATCTCTGCCGCAGGAAGTGTAGAAATGTAACCTATATCTCTGATGACAAAGAAAGGCAAGGAGGAAGCAAGGGCGGATTTATAAATGGCTTTAGGACTCAGATTCCCTTTGAGCTGTGAGTGTGTAGATAGGGGTGTGGCAGGGAGACAAAGAGCAAAGGTTCCACTTCATAACTATTCCCTTGAGTCTGAACTTTCCACATCAAGCCTGGGATTAGAACTGAGACTGCTTGGATGCCATGTACTTCTCTGACAAAACCGAGTTCAGCTGTTTTAAAATCTTGGGGGTATATCCTAGAAGGTAGATTGCAAGATAATCTCAGTGGAACCATCCAGAAAAACAAGCCTGGGCCATCTTGACCCCTACTTCTGACCTGCCCCCCTCAACAAAGTAAATGGGGACTGGCTCTCACAATAGGAGAAGGAAAAATACGCCAGACAGTAAAAGGGCGGAAAGATTTTTTTGAAGGACTGGAATTTCCTCTGATGTAGTCTACAACTAGAATAGGGCATGGCACCAGAAAAAATGAGGGAGGTGAATTCCCATGTCCAAAAAAAAAAAAAGGGGGGGGAGGTGCACTCCATTTTTAATTAATTTTCAATCAAATCCAGAAGGCAGGTTAAGTAAGTCATGATAAGTTCACCACTTACCGAAGGTACGCTAAATATGTTCAGATCTGTGGAATGGCTGGATTAAAGAAGAAATGAGGCCAACCAAGTTTGAAAACTAACATTAATTTGGGAAAAGTTCAAAATTCGATTGCTGTCTATACAATTATCTTAGTTTGTCAATCTTCATTCTCTCCCTGCTAGATTTAAAGTCCAGAAGAAGAAATTTTGTTTACTATTCTATCCCTGGCACCTAAAACTGTGATTAGAATATAGTAGTTGATTAATAAATACTGAGGAATGAATGGGTGTTTCAAGCAGCCCTTTAGAGCCTGGGCTTCCTTCTGTAATACACTCACCTTAAATGAAAAATGCCTCTCAGCAGGTCAACAGCTCCCAACAAGGAAATTTTGAGAACAAAGGTCTATGACAATGTGTTAGTGCCAGATTCTAAGTGGTACAGAAAGAATCTACAGCCCTCAAAATCAATAGTAATTATAGTAAGATATCTGCATTGCCAGGAAAACTACTTAAACCAGGAATTATTCAGGAAATAATGGGCATGACTGATGGCCTAATGTCAATCAATATAATACCTTAATAGCTTAAAGACACTCGATATTAAATATTGAGACTCCAATCCAAGTCCTTGCTCTTGATGAAAGCCATTGGGTCAGCAACATTTCCTGGGTATTTACCACAAACAGACCACTTGGCACTGCGGGGAAATTACAAAATCCAGCAGCCTCCAAATCATAAACCCACAATGAAAAAAAAAAGCACATCAATAGTCAACACCCATTACAGATGCATTGGAAAGCCTTGAAGCATTCATAGATAATTGATGGACTTAGAAGGAAGGAAAGTGCTAAGCAGGAATGGCTTAAACCCTTTAGCCACAGAGAATATCTACGCATGTTTGCCACTCTGAACTGGTCTTGTCTAATATCTTCCTTCACATTGCCTGAAAATTCTATCTTGTGGCTCCTTGATTCCACTTCTTATATAAATTTTAGATGTGTTTAGATTAACAAGATTTTTCTTGCTGTTTTTTAAATAACAAAACTTCTCAGGTTGTTGAGGACTTTAGGACCACCAACCATTCCTAACTTAAAGGACATGAGTCAATTTGTTAGTCTCAGGTTGGGTGTAAGTACACTGAAATAAAGAGGGAATCGGCAGAACTGGAAGAGCAGGAGGAAGGTAAAGGAAATAAGGGGGGCGGGGTAAAGTTATAATTTTTCAATTAAAATAATCAGGGCCAACCTTAAGAACAAATTCCAGAAATACATTTCAGTGATTTATTCATTCTACCCACATGTTCTCCCTCATTCTCCCACCTTCCTACCCCCTCTATAGCCCCACCCCCAAAAGTAGGCATTTACAATGAGTACGTGGATATAGTGCATGTTAAAGTGGGGGTTTCTAGACTGACCTTCTATAACATTGTTTCAGTAGGAAAGTATTCTGAATTCCAAACCACCAAGTTCTGGACAGGCACAACAGCACACACTTTTGGACAGAATCCATTAGTAGAGATGATCTGAATTCTGGGACCCACACTCCCCTGAAGTCCAGGTAGGATTCTTGGTGAAGACCTGATATGCCCCTATGAGGTCACTGTTCTCTCACACACATTTAGAAAATTCATAGCTTTAAAATGGCAAATCGGAACACAAAAATGGTTAACACTCTGCATTGGTATGGTACTTAGTGTTTTCAGGGTGCTTTATGTGTATTTTTTGGACAGACATGCTTTTAGAAATCTTCTACAATAACCCTGTGGGCAGAGGTAAAAAATGAGCATCATTAAAGCACTCTCATAAGATAAGGAAAAGTTATGTTCACACTCTCAGCAGCCCAGTTGAGAAGCCCAGTCCTACACAAATGAAGGAACTGCAAGGAGTGGCCCCACCCCACAACGCCACACCCTATACTGTACCCTAGGTCCCTGACTCACAGATGCATCTGCTGAATATGTCAGCGACAACCCTTCCCCCCAGAACCAAGGTGACACTTCCTTCCTGAGGCACTGAAATCAGAAGTTGCTCTCCCACAAGGTGATCTAGATTAGGGTACAAGCCGGGTTTTTTTTTGTTTGTTTGTTTGGTTTTGTTTTGAGGGGCTGCTGCTAAAAATTCCCACCCTTCATCCTCCTTCAATGTTTCCCTCCTGGTGGTCGGTTCAAATTTCACTTGAATGTGCATTTGTTTTCAGTAAATGATCTTGTAACACACGGACAGTACCGTCTATATGGCAATAAAGCTTTTGTTAAACGTGGAAGGAAAAGCCCCCAAAGTCTGCTCTGCCCAGGGATCCCAGGCTCCCTGGGCGGCCACACCCTAGTCCCAGCCTGGGGCCAGGCACTTCTGGAATGCGAGGGCCTCCCTCGGTTCCTCTTCTCCTCACGAAGGCCTCCCCCAACCAGCTTCCTGAGAAAACTTCGAAGGGAGGGGGCATGCCCGACCCCCTCCCTCTGCTTTGCACTCCCCCGAAGCCGGGGCGCCACCGGCTCTCCTCACTTCTGGCTAGCCCACCTGGCTGCTGAGTCCTGTCTTCATAGAACTCCTAGTGCAGAAGATCCCCTCCAGCCCCTTCCCCTGGACGACCGCCCGGGCCCCTATCCTTCCCAGCCTCTCCTGGCCAGGCCGTGTTCTTCCCGGCCGCTCAGCGCCCCGCTAGAGCAGCGGCCCCGGGGCCATAGCGGGAGGGTTGGCTTACCTGGGCGGGCGCCGCGAGCAGTGCAGTCCCTGGATGCCGAGCGGAGCAGGCGGGCCTGGGTGGGGCTTTTATAGGCACCACAACCTCACGGAGCCGGCGAGGGGATGGCCGCCCCGCCCCGCCCCGCCCCGCCCCGAGCTGGCCCCCCTCCCCCGCCGGGTGACTCACCCGCCTAGGCCCTCCAGCCTTGAGGGCGCCTCGCCCTGCAAGTTTCTGAGCTGAGCCATGCAGGAAGGACGGAGGCCCGACCACCATTAAATCACTACCAGCCCAGGCTTCCTCGCGGCTCATTAAGGGCCTCGCATCTTCCTTCCTCGTTTTGCTCATTTTACTTTTGAATGCCAAGTCGAGTTTTCAACCCTCGCATAGATTAATACACTTAAGATTGTAGTGAAGTCTTAATTTCGTCAAGTAACTTTTTTTCTCCTTAGGTGTCAATACAGTGGAAGGAAGAATTATTCCAGAAGTCCTAAATCATGATTCCCTTAGCTTAACCTCTGGGAGGCAGATCCCAGGAGGAGCGCTGCGAATGTGATTAGCCAGGTCCAAGCCTGTGATTACTGACCAGCCCGCCCCGACCCCCTCCCCAGGCCTAGAAGCAGGCGCAGGGAGAGTGGGAACCAAGTTTGGGGTAGTGTAGGAGACCAAAGCTAAGGGCCAAGATATCACTCTACTCCTGCTCGCTCAGCTTTTCCCGGTGCCTCCTGAAACCTGAACTCTGCAGACCCACAGGTCCTGCAGCTCCGGTGCCCTCATGCTGAGCTGTCCAGGGCTGGGTGGGGCCTGTGTCTTTGAATCTCCACGTCCAACAAAGAAGTTCTTGCTCTTCTGTCTTTCATAATAACTGCCCATTGTTGTTGCTATTATTTTCTTCTTTTTTTCTGCAACCGCTTAGCCAGCCTCCTTTCTATGTTGTTGTTGTTTGTTTTTTTAAGATTTATTTATTTATGCATACAAGAGCTGGGGGGTACAGGCCAGAGTTGAAAGGATTCACCAGAAACAGAGTGGGGAACAGAACAGGCAGATCGACCCAGGTACACTGCGGAGAGGAGCAGGAGAGTCAGAAGAGGTTAGGAGCAGCAGGAGAGCAGGAGAGGTCTGCTGCCCCATGTAGGGGCTTGAACTCCTGCTGCAGAGGTGGTGGATTGCTTCATAGGGCTGTGTTTAACCCCTTGCGCCTCCAGGGAGGCACTCCTTTCCAGGTTTTGCTCAGTTTCTTGCCTTTCCTTGGTATTGCTTCCATAATCCACATAAGCAAAAGTAGACAAAGGTGTTTCTGTGTGTGGCTATGCAAATACTGTGTTCAAACTTCAAACTAACAGGAAATAAGAGTTTTGCTAACAATCCAAAGACCCCTCACTGTGCCTTGAATTCCCTTTTACACTCCATGATGCTCTTTTTTCTAATTTTGATGCTTCTGTGTTTCTGTCTTTATCTCCCATCTATCTTCACATCCATTTTATTTCCCAATTGAACATCTTTGCCTTCCTGGGAATCAGAAATATATAGCATGGCCAAAAACTTCCATTGCCATGCTCACTGTCACTTAAGTCAAGTAGCTGCAAAGTCTGGTGTCTCTTGACACTCAGTCCCAGAGCTCACTGTCACTCAGAAGGATACATCACAGGCCATCTCAGGAGAACAAACGGGAAATTAAGCAACTCTTCTGATACAATTTCTGATTTACATTTATAGCTCTTCATTCAAGTCGAAAACCTTTATGGGCAGAAACCCTGTTTATCTGCCAATTCCTGAGAACATTTTAAACCCAAAGGAACACGGGAAGACATTAAGAGTGGACCATCTCACACCAGTGAGAATGGCACATATTAAAAAAACTAGCAACAACAAATGTTGGCGAGGATGTGGAGAAAAAGGAACTCTTGTGCACTGTTGGTGGGAGTGCAAACTGGTCCAACCACTATGGAGAGCTGTGTGGAGATTTCTGGACCTACTAAACATAGAGCTTCCATATGATCCAGCAATTCCACTCCTAGGTATTTACCCAAAGGACACAGAAACATCAATTCCAAAGAGCACCTGCACTCCTATGTTTATAGCAGCACTGTTTACAATAGCTAAGCTTTGGAAACAACCCAAATGCCCAAAAATAGATGACTGGATCAAGAAGATGTGGTACATATATACCATGGAATATTACTCAGCATTCAAAAAAGATAAACACATGCAATTTGCAGCAACATGGATGGCACTGGAAGGGATCATGCTCAGCGAAATAAGCCAAAAAGAAAAAGAAAAATACCGGATGGTCTCACTCATAGCAGGAATCTAGAAAACTTAAATAAGGGACCAGGAAAATGAATATAAGAAAGTGAAAATCAAAATCAACAAAAAAACTATGAACCAGAGACACTTTTTGGGGGGGGGGGGGGCGGGAGGGGAAGGATTGGGGTCAGAATGGGGCGTTTGCAATTGTATGGGGGAATATAAAAATAAAATTTAATATTTAAAAAAAAAAAAAAGAGTGGACAGGATTCAGTTTCCCTTCTCTAGTTCTCAGGCAGGTTCTGCAGACCCTTACTTCTAATGGTGTTATGGCAGGCCCTTTACAGAAGACATGATTTAATTCAAATCATGTGGGAGATAGAAAAGCCACCAAGTATGCAAAAGTTTTTTCTTCTCTTGGGAATCTAGCAATGCCAAGCATACAAATCTGTGCAAAAGGCAGGGTTTGCTACATGCTATGGAACTCTACACTGTTACCACAAAAATGAAGTCATTAAAAGTCATAGTCACAGTTTGAGGAATTTGGGGTCAATTTTGTCAGTATAAAAAACTGTAATCTCTTAGTGCAAAGACTCCTTTCTTTTTTCCCCCACGACTGGGAAGAGTGTTTACTACAACAGACCTCAGATTATGCCTACTGGGGTGCCTACTGTCTTCTAAAGCCACAACTTTGTTTTGTTCACACTTCAACACCTCTAATGATATCTAGTTATCGATGATAGGCACACATAAAATGTATAGCATGGCACAATCAAATTATTCAGAGTAATAGAATGTTAGAGCAGAAATCTTAAGAGATAAACCTGTTCAACCCTTGATTTTTATAGATGAAGAAACTGGAGCCTAAATATGGTCTTCTGCCTGTCAGAGATTAGGTAATGCAGTAGTGTTACTTACTGCAGTATAACAAATTTCCACCAAAGTTTAGTGGTTTAAACATAAATAACCACTTGTTTGCTCATGAATTATGCAATTTGGGCAAGATTCAGTTTGATTCTGCTCTACATGATGTTAGAGTGGAGAATCAGAAATGGCTTCACTCGCATGTTTGGTGTCATAATTAAGGTTTCTAGAGTGGCTGAGAGCAGGTTGTGCCTCTCTGCCCCTTGGTCTCTCCAGTGTCTCTTTTTTTTCTACATGGGGTATTAATGGTAGCTAACCTTCTAAAAGCAAAAGATGAAGCTCATAAGCTCTATACACAAATAGCCAACAAGGTAAAGTGACCATATGGGCCATATGTCTTTGATCTTTGTTTTAATTCGCTGTTGAGTTTTTGGCTTTGCCTCTGGCCCCCCAACTCCACTGAGATGCCTTTCATTTTCTTTAAGACTGACCTATATTTGTAGCTCTCTCAATGTTTAATCACTGAAAGAAACTCTAATGTTCAGAAACTTCTTTTTACTTTGAACTATATCCTGTTTCCAAACTGCACTTTTTATTACAATTATCTTTAAAACTATGTGGATTTTCTATAAATCTTACTGACATCCATTGCACACTCCAAAATTCATGTCTAAATAATTTCCTCAAAAATTTTATGGGTTATCTGAAATCTTACTGAGATGTAATTCCATGTGTCAATATTCACATTTATTAGTCTTTCTAAAAACAGGCCCCTCTCTCCTTTTCACTTAAGATTCACAGTTTGTCTTCAAAGTACCACATAAATCTTTGTGGAATCTTAAAAGTTAAAAAAGGTCTTGCGGACACACATGATTTTACCATGATCCAGAGGCCATTTCTCACTTTGCAAATCTTAAATTGTCTAGAATTATGTTTGAAAACCATAGGTCTTTCTTTAGCGCATTTTTATTTTCTAGTACTTTACCACGCTTAACACTTTTGAGTGTTAAGCACAGCACTGTGAAGCTATCCGCAGCCTCTGCAGCACAAGTTTGATCCAAGCCGGCCAAGGAGCTACCCACATGGCGCAGCAGACCTCTCCTGTCTCACCTGCTGCTCCCCTCAGCAGTATAGTTCAATAGATCGGACTGTTCTGTTCCCCACTCTGTCTCTGGTGAATCCTCTCACCCCCTGCACCTCTGGCCTGTACCCCAGTTCTTGTATGCATAAATAAATTTTTAAAAAAGTGTTACAGAGAGGAATCTCCATAAAAAGGGGCAATTCCATGCTCCCTGCCCCACCTAATGAGGGAAGAGATGAGTAACCAGGGGAAGATATAGAATACTTGGAGGAGACACAAAGAGCAGATGGGTATGTGAAGAAGAGTGTGCTTATGTCTTGGCTTGGGACTTGCAACAGGGACTTGGGGATATGGAAGAGCCACATGGATGAGACAAGTGGGAAGGCTGACAATAGCAAACTTTATCTTGATTTGTACTTTAATTTTGCTCCTTTCACTCCAGACTTGCCTGACCTCTCTGACCCTTTCCTATGGTTTCCTGCCAGAAGGTGCAGATAATCTACCATAATCCTTAAACTAGTAAGTGGTAGAGCTGAGATTAGAATATAATTTTCTGCCTTTCAATCCACTGCTTGTTCCAATACATCATATTTCTCAGATATATCCCTTCAGTGATACAAAGGCTGCCCCTAGGTCCTTTCATGTATGGTTTAGACTCACACCAACCATAAAGCTGTCATTTACTTGAGTCTTGTTATATAACATTGGCATATGTACTGTCTTTATTTGAAGATGTGTCCATAAGAGGGAAAAGATACATCTGGGAAATCCAACATTTGAAGAATAGGAAGAATCAGCAAAATGAAGGGGAGAAAAATCACCAAGAAATAACTAACTGAAGACAATTTTCTAGAACTGAAGGTCAAGAGGTTTTAGATTGAAAAAAACCACAATAAGTGAAAAAATAA